TGTTATTTTAATTAACTTTTTGGGTGGATAAGCAGGTGCAGGTTTCTCTTGTTATTTTATTTAACTTTTTGGTTGGTATAGCATGTCTAAATTGTATTGCTTCTATGCAGGTTTCTCCATTGACTGAGAGTAACTCGGACGATTTAGGCGGTTGCAGCTCACTTGGAAAGCCAACCGCCCAAAGGTACTTCTGCTGCTCTGTGTAGTTGCATTATGATAAGTTGGTTTAGTCTTCGCCCGCTTGTAAAGTTATGTGCTTTCCTTATTACTTCCAAATTTACTGTGGAATATGTAATGGAGCTCTAAGGGTCATTAAGAAATTGTTTTCACAATCACAGGATTATTTAATAGGTATAAAATCTTCATGTCACATACTTTTTGTGATCAAACTTCTTTACCTGATAGATCAAATGGCATAGTCAAGGCAGATCCATTTAATCCTTAATTGCTCTGTATTTGTAGGTGTTTAATGATCTAGAGGCGGGTTGAGAGCCTTAACATGATTTGGGTTTTGAGGACTTAAACGATCCGCTTGCTGCTGGGCGTAAAAAGGTTCGGATTGTGTTAATTTAATCCAACTTAAACTTGTTGGTATGTTAGTTAGAACCGATATTTACTGTTTGATTGAGTGGAGAGATTTTGGAATTAGATTGAATAGCTTGATGTTTGTTGGTTTATAATTGCTTCTTATACTATGACCTACGATGGTTAATGACATTTTTGTTTAATCTTTCAATGTGCATTGGCTTTTTTGTTTTCTTCTTAAGTAATTACATAGCAGTCTAAGTGGTTTATACAGTGATGATAAATAATAGTAAACTCATTTTCAACGTTTGTTCAAGATTACGAGCTTTGGAGGAGGGGAAACATATACATGGTCAGTTCATGAAATTGGGATATGGATCTTGTGGATTTTTTTAGAATAGTTTGATAAACATGTATGCGTTATTTTCTGGTTATACGAAAAGTGGGTGCTGGAAAGAGGCTGAAGTAGATAAGACTGCTATAGTTGCTTTAAATTCAAACATTCACAGTCTAGATACAATAAGTCATTTTATGTAACAATCAGTCAATCACGCATTGTTAGCCACAAAGATTTTCAACTTCTCAAATGTCACTTAAGTTGGTCCTATTATTTAGAAATATGGCTGTGTGTTCAGAAGATGGTTTCCTGTTAGGTGTTATTCTTAAATGTGTTTAATTGGATTTTGGTTATGTGTATGTCGTACTTTTTAATTAATTGACATTTAACCATAGTAATGCAATTTAGATTGATTAAGTTACTAGAAGAATCATCCGTCCAATCTTAAAAGGTTAAAAATGTACATAAGAAACAATGTCAAAGGCTGAAGCATTGAGCTGAAACATAGATAAAACAAAGACGTCGGAGACTGAAACATGGCTAAAATAGGAAGTTGCAAACTGGAAGAGAAGCAGACAGAGTAAAGAAAGAAAAAACAGAATCTTGGATATCATTAAACAAATTTTTAAATGAATAATGAAACTTTGCATACTTCTTAAAGATATTTTGTTTGAGGAATGAGAAAAAAAGATGTAGGAACAAGGAAAAGAAGAAGGGCAATATATGTTAAATTGTATGTCTCCTTTTATATATCATTTGCCAAGGTCCCATAGTTGGAGGACTCCACCTCATTTAGTGAATTCAACTGTGTGAATGTAGAGTTAGAGTCTACATGCATACACACACATATGCATGTATGCACAGACGAAGCCAKTAATTTAGTTGAGGTGAGCTTAATGTAAATATGTAATTATTTAAATATTATGCAAACAAACAAGTATATTATATTGATGAAATGATTGYATAAAAAATACATGTAAAAGTGAAAGCTTGACSTTTACAAGCTTGATGAATCACAACCACATATGAAAGAAACCCATATAAAGAACTAACTACAAACCAAGATTTGCATATTCAGAATTGGAACCACAGTCCAMAAGCTGAAATCAATAACAAGCCATTGAGCATAAAGCAGTAAATCTTTTTGRTTGGTATAGCTGGTCTAAATTGTATTGCTTCTATGCAGGTTTCTCCACTGACTAAGAGTAACTCGGACGATTTAGGCGATTGCAGCTCACCTGGAAAGCCAATAGCCCAAAGGTACGACTTTAGATGCCTGCACATTATAACCCTCCAACATATAGTATTTTCTTGTGCCACTGTGTGCTTGTATCTTTTAAAGTAATCCTAGATTGAGTTTGGTTTGACATACCTAACCAATTAGTAAATCAATCTTTAACGTTTATTATAAATTAACATTATAGTTTAATTTCTCATATTCAACCTTTACCAACACTTTAGAAATCCTAAAATGTACTTACGAGAAAGTTTCTTTAAATCTCGAAACTTATCGATTAAGCATTTATTCATTAACGCACCTACGGTTCCTTATCATAAGAACATCTAAGCCCAGAAATGGGCTATTACAACATAGCTCTCATTTATTGAAACCATGTTCTGAAAATGTTAACCCCCTAGATTCATATACCTAATGCAATCCTCATCATTTGTTAAGCCTTGCTAACATTAATGCAATGGTATGCCTCCTTTCATGATGACAGATGTGGGGAGTTTAGTTTATATATGAGAATATTGGGCAAACAAGAAGCATAAGTAGAGTAGGGTCTTCAGATTGTTAGATAGATGTGTATCAAGGCTGTGGAAGACCACAAGAGAGTGAATATGTTTAATTTTCTTTTTGGAACAGGAGTATCAAGCATCCTTTTGGCCTATATTTTTATATTTCCTCTATGTAGATGTCTCATTTGTTTGTAACATGTCGAATCTGACAAACTTTCTAACTTACCATTTATTTAGCATCGTCATTGTTAAAAATTATTGATCGGTATTGAATTAAATCCATAAGATTCATTTTGTTATCATTGAAGGGTATTTCAAACATTGGCTAATAGTAAAGCATTCTTATTAGACTACGGGGCTGTTTATTAAACACTTACTTGGTAAGTGTTTAATGCATAAATTTCCTGGACGAACATGAGAAGGGTGAAGAATCTTACCGGATAAGAGCGATGAGAATAATGGAGAGTCTTACCCGGTAAGTGAGGATGGTGACTCTTGCCCAGATAAGCGCTTATCCAGTAAATTGTTGGATTCGATATGTTTTGATGTTCTAAAATTTTACATGTCCAAATAAATTATAGGGTTAACTCCTATCGATAAGCGCTTACCGGGTAAGCATTTGGGTAGAGATCCCCTACATCTCAAATCAATTGTTGCAATTTTCATAAGCCAAAAAACTATTTCCTCCGTCTCGTCAAAAACTTGTAGTACCAATCAATAACAACGAAATAAATGAATCTTATGGACCCAAATCAATACTGAAGTTTATTTGTTATAATGATGACAAACAAATACATTATTGCAACAAGAAACCTTTTCAAAAAAGAAAGTGTTATGATTCTCAAAGATAGCTAGGAAAGGGAAGTGTTAAATTGTTCATGGAAGTATGTCTTTGGAAGAAGTGTTATGTGTCTGCTACACAATGAATGCATATGTTATAAAGCACATGATAAAACTATTTCATGCATAGAGAATACGTACCTTTTGAAAAGTGGAGTGGCTCCAACGCTGCACATGGAATGCTGAAGTTTAAATAAGGTATAATTGTTCTCCTACCATGCCTAGCGTTGCTGTAACAAAACTTAAATCTCATCAACTTGCTTGCAATCCTGCCTATAAGTTTTCAACATTTTAATTAAAGAAAAAAAAAAAGATTCCATATTTGACCTTGGCAAGTAAGATGAGTGATTGAAGGGGGCAATTATTTTAATTACTTGCCTTTTGCTTCTTTGGTTTACTTGTTAAGTGTATTATTCTCTTGTGTTTTTCTGTTGCTCTATTTGTATAGGTTAGTTTTTGTTGAATACTATATAATCTTTGTTATTTTAATTAACTTTTTGCTTGGAACAATTTCAAAAAGTATAATAACAGCAACCATTTTTTTATAATGTTACTTCACAAAATAAAAACACTTTGTTATATAATTAAATAATTACTTATGAATAAAGAAACAAATCACAACCAAAGATGTTATTTTCTTTGTACATCAATTTTGCTATTGAGATGTGAAAATTTGTTGTACATGGAATTAAGAAATATATTCCATTTTGTTAAGGAGGTCTGTCTTTGTTGATCATGAGTTGTATTAAGTGAAAATCATTATTAAACAATCTAARAATAACAATTGATGTGTGTTTGGAAATCCGTTAATCGTGTAATTCTCTTTTCAAATCTTCGGTCAATCAACCGTAATAAAATTTGAAGTTTATAATGATCATAAACGTCATACCTTCGATTTACAAAAAAACATTGACATCCCGCCGCATTGCACGGATAAAAGACAACTAGTATATATATATAATGATAATAATATTAAAAAATATATAATATATAGTAGAATATATTACAGTTTTGGTCTCTATGGTAAAAGACAAGAAAGAGAGAGTAAAAGACGAAAATACCCTCCTCTAACTTGACTGGGTTAACATAATCAATTTGATTCTGTTAGAGCGTGTGAATTGGTATCCCATACATAGGTACCGTACGGGGAATGTAATAAAGACGACCGTAGTCAAACAAACAGCAAATGCAATTTACTTTCAATTATATATGTTATTTTTAAAAGAAATACAATACCCCTACCTAAAGATTCATTCTTTAACATATTTAGGGATCCGTAAGAAAATGAAATCCTAAACAACTTACTCATTATTACGGACTTCCAAGTCCAAGATGGTATGAATATAATATTATCGATCTCTACATATATAAAAAAACGAGACTATATATCTTATTCCAAAGTAGCATATGAAGATGGTAGGATGTTTACAGACACTCGAAAGAATATAACAAATATTATCGATCTCTACATACCAAACCAGATTAACACACTATTTCATTCATCCCATCCAACAAGACTACCCAAAAATTACAACAAATATTATCTCAAACTACAAACCTATGATTTCTTCTTGTAATCACACCTCTCATCAACAATTCTTTTCTTTAAAATATCGATATTCAGATCGCAGGTTGAAGTAGAGACCACATGAATATTGAACAAATTCACTATACGGACTGTGCCGGAAATTCTACTATAAATTGACACCCGAAAGTTACCGCTGATTACATCACGGTAGATGTCCAAATCCTTCAGCAATCGATCTGCAAAGATGGTAAGCGTTAGGTTCAGTTGTTTGGTTCCGTCGGACCCAATCTTTCCGGCGGGGATAGGAACATTTCCGACGTCTTGGCCTTTGTACCGGAGAGCGGCGGAGCTGTTCCGGTATTTGATGCTCACTTTGTTAGGGTTTCTGACGGAGATATTTATGTCGAGGGAGATGTTCAGAGAAACCCTAAGTGGGAGGAGGGTAACGGAGGCGTTTACATCTATGAGGGCGACGGAGTTGACGGTGGTGACAGGCTTTTTGGATTTGAAGACGGTGAGAGCTAGGACAAGAATGAGAAGAGCAACAACGGCAAGTAGAGTGAGAGCTACTGAGAAACAGATGCATCTGCGGCGGCGTTTGGCCGGAGAAGTGTGGGAGTGTTGAGCGTCATCAACGGCGGGTATGGCGGAGAGCGTCTCTTGATGGTGTTTCTTTTTGACATGCATTTTAGTGGTTTAATGCATGCAATCAGCACTAAATAATTAAGATAGGTTTAGTTACCATATGCATGATCTTTATATGTTGACTTGATAAATGAACAAATAAATAAACAATGTCTGTGTTTATTACCAATCACCTACCATAAACCACAAATTATTTCTAAACCACAAAAGGTGATACCTTTCAAAGGTCACAAATTTAGATCCAAAGAGGAATAAAAATCTCGTTATGGTTATGGAGGTTTAAATTAATGGTCGTTCTAAAATTAGTCGGCTCGCATAATAAGAAACTAATATACCATCCAACTCCTATTGCATTTATATAGTTTTATGAAGTTTAAAGAGTTTTAAAAAATTATATGTATATAATAATTATTTTAAAACTTAAGACTTAAGATATTATTTATTAATAAATAATAATTAATGTTTAATAAATTACTTTAAAA